GTGACGTGTGTACACACGTCGACCGATTTCACCAAAGGCATGCTCAATTGGGTTGATGTCTGGCGAGCATCCTGGCCACTCCATCGGCTCTACACCCTGCTGCATAAGGAATTCCGGGACAATCCTCGCCCTATGAGGTCAAGCGTTGTCTTTTTGCAGTATGGTACTGCTATAGGAGCCGTAATCTCGTCCCGGTAACGCTGTCCGGCAAGATTACCGTCAACCACGTGCAGTGGAGTACGTCCACTAGGAGTTATCCCTGCCAACCGCCAAATCGGTTGCGTTGCCACAGTTGCATCTGTGATTCGCTCTCCATTGCGACGATAAGTCCTCTGCCGACCATCATGGAAGGACAAATTGAATGTGCTTTCATCTGTGAAGAGCACACGCGACCACTGACGTTGATTCCAGCGGCCATGATGTCTACCCCATCTCAAACGCGCCTGCCTGTGACGTGGTATTAGTGGTGGACGAACTGCAGGTCGCTTACAGCGGAGTCTGGCTGTCCTTAAACGTCGATAAACTGTGTTCCTGGATATCCTTACATTGTTAACATTGGTAAGAGTTCTGTCTAAAGATCTGCTGCGTTAAGGAATCTGTTACGTAACGCAGTGTTAATCATGTGCCTATCATTTCGGACTGTTGTGATTCTGAGGCGACCTGGTCAAGGTGCATTTTCCACGGACCCATTGGCTTGAAATCTCTTCCACAGACAACCAATTGCACTCTGACTCACATTAAAGCGGACAGCAACCTGCCGCTGAGTTTGACCAGATTCCAAAAGGCCTATAGCCTGACCCCTTTTTAGCAAGTGTAAAAAATTTTAAGCTGCGATGTCAAACAGGTACCAGAACAGTGAACGACAGTGAACAATCATCAATACATGTGTATTGTTCTCCACTTTCCATTGATAGAGCGACATGCATTGACATAAAGTGGCCCTTTTCAACACTGTCAAGAAAATAGCTTGACCCTTCTTTAATGGCGCCGAGTATATATGTAAACTGTGTAAGGGAGGAGGGGAGCAGGGGATGTGTACTCTTTTCGAGAATACCTGATGTCATCGCTCATTTTCTGTGAGAAATGTTCTGATTTGTTTCATCAAAATTTTGCCCTTTACGCCAACGGAAAACCCAAAATTTATATCAACAAATTTTCAATATATGCATTCCAGTTCTGCATAAATATTCAAATATAGATACAATGGTGTGGTGAACATTTCACAATGTGTGCCTGAGTGTATGTTGGTTTAAGAGGTAGTCTTGCTGGACCCCCAGATGACAGTTTCCCATATTGCCTGCTTTTGACCGCCTCATGACCGTTGTAAGGACGCCTCGAGACACGCCCACAAATCCATAAAATCCAGTGGATCTGCGCCGATCTGAAAACATAACAGGGAACCATTTGCGATTCTCCAGATACTACGCTCCAAACACTCCGTGTCAGTGTCTAAATGTTCCATGTGATATGTTTGCCGAACGAGGCGTCTTACTGACAAAAACATTAAACACTGACGGAAGGAAATTGGAATAAGCACCGTTTTCTGGTATTTCGTTATCCTCGCCCCTGTATTTCAATAAATACTTATTAAACATCCTACAGTGTATATACCATCCTGTAATCCCTGATTAATAATTGGATATGCATATTATCCATAGCATTACACTCATCTATACATTATGAAAAAGTAATGTGATTCTATGGTCAGTAAAGAAATGATGTTATAACCACAGACACAAAGACACTACTAACACTACTAAGAACACACATGTGATACATCTTATATTACAATAAACGTTGAGACTGTGTGATCAACGCCCATAGGTCGGTAGAAAAAACTTTAAAACATTTTTATATTATCTACTTTGTTTTGTCTCCGTTAATGTAAAAGAGATAATGTAATGTGAGATCTCTTAGAAATTATATATGGCAACCTACCAACCATCATCTTCTTATCAGGACCCTCGCCTCCTTCACATGTAGCCCGGACGCTGAATATGACTGCACTGCCTAGCAGAAGTCACCAAGGATATTTCAAAGAATGTAAAGACTGCACATCTCTACAGCCTTCTGCATTACCGATACTGTCAAACGTTCTCGCAGCAATACTCCAAATATCAGACACCAAATTGGAGGCACATAATGCACTACTATTACTGTCAAAAAGGAATGAGGAATGCAATGACATAAATAATCAGGTTTTGTGGCTTGGATACACCAGAGGATTCAACAATTGTCATTTACCATGACGTCCTTACATATGCTGGGTCCTTCCAAGTAAATGCAAGTTAAACCCACAAACATGGTGCAGAAAGTAATAAAAGTGTCGAGCAAAGCTATCATATCGCTTAGGATATTGTGTTTGTACCGACAAGGTGTTTCTTTCAATTTTTTTGCATAATCTATAGCTTAGCTTTACATTATTATTATGTTTTACAGATAAAGATGAAACTGCAGCAGAGAGGGTTCGGGTGACCCTGGCACAGTCAGGCTGGTAAGGCTCATCATCAGCTCAGGGCCCTCGCCCCCTCTACGCGCAGCCCAGACAGCGAATGGGACCTCTCCCAGGAAACGCTGCCTAGTCGAACCCACCGAGAACTTTCCGGAGAATATGAAGGCTCCCCAACACTGCAGCCTTCTGCATTACCCAGAGTGTCAGAAGGGCTGTGCTCCCGGTGGAGAACCCGGGCACTCTCCTGATCTGCGCCAAGAGATCAGGAGGTACCAAACCAAGGGCACCGAGAACAATGGGGAGCCTGGCGACAGTGTACTTGGGATGCGAGCGAGACATTTCAAAGGCGAGGTCCGCATATTTATCATGCTTTTCCTGAATCTTGCCATTCACATTGGTGTCAAAAGGGACAGAAAATTCAATGATATAAATAAATTCATTGGCTTTATCAAAAAGGACAAGATCAGGTTTGTTGGCTGGAATTCTTCTGAGGCTGTATATGGGCCTATTCCAGAGAAGTTTGAAAGCATCATTTTCCATGACGCCCTGGACATGTTCAGGGTCGTACATTGGATGGACCTCGGAGTCAAAGCCACAGGCATGTCGGAGACGGTAGTAAAAGCAACGAGCCATGCCATCATGTCGTTTAAGATATGCTGTTTGTGCCAAGGAATGGCATCCACTGACAAGGTGTTGGACAGTCTCTGTGAATTCATTGCAAAGTCGACATTTCATGTTAATATTCTCTTTAAGAATCACATTTAGGCGATTACGAGTGGGAAGTGACTGGTCCTGAGCAGCAAAAAGGAAGCCCTCAGTTTCACATTTAAGACCAGCCGACTTCATCCAGGCGAAGGAGTCGGTGGGATTGCTATTCTGTTCGACACACTGCATGTACACACGATGCAATGGCTTCTCAGAAAGCTTCTCCACAAAAGACCGACTCTGGGCAGACTTGGTGAAGGACTTCACCTGGTTTACTCCCATCGCTGTACCGTCCAGCAGTACATCGCCATCAGCAAAGTCAACCTCAAATTCAGATCTGTCCAACAACCTTGGCACGCTTAAAATAGCTGTGGAATTCCTTGCTTTCATCATGAGTCTTCACATGCATCACTAGAGGATCATCCGTTATTATTATAGCGCATATATCCACTCAACTAGTACATGTTCAAGGCGCTGGAATTTTTCCCTCGATCATTGGATGTCAATCTCAAGGTACATCGTATTATCAATCTCAACTCCCCGGGGGAATCATACAACTCTTGAAGCCACTAGGCGAGTTATTGCGGCTTTCTCATCCTTACCCATGAACAGCTGGGTAGACTGGGACACATAGTCACACTACTTTGTCCAACTTCACTATACGTTGCTGTACCCGCAACTAGGTGTTGGCACGTATTTATGTGACCACCATATGTGGACCAACGGATTCCTGGGTTCTTTTAGGTGCACAGGGTTGTGTACTGTACACTAGGGGGTGTGAAAACACTGAAAGAGTCTGCACACAAAGTTGACTCCAAGAGTTTTACATCCGGTGACAGGTGGGCTCGATCCCGACACCACAAGCTCGCTGCATCACTACCTTGGCGCCTTAGCCAGCTCGCCCACTATGCCACATTTTACATCTAAATCAAAGTAAAAAAATGACCGCAGGATGCAAAATCACACCTTGACTGCCGGGTGTCCAAGCAAAGGATTCTGCATCGTTGAAGTCCCACTCAATACACAGCACATATATTTGATGCAGTGGTAAAACTGATATGGTATTTTGCCTGGTTGACACTCATTTCCTTACTGTCCTGCAGTACACTCTGTCATCATGTCAAACATCCCCGGCTCGTTTGAGAATATCCCATGGCCATTTTGTTTCATCCAATCAACAACACAAAAAGAATATGGAAAGACGTGCCCAACATGCGACTTTCACTTTATGGCCAGTGTTCAGCTCTGAAATCCGGGTTTTCTTAAGTTGTACATTTGTATTCTGCCTTAACTTTGTCCTAGGTTTTGCCTTGTGGGGTTTGTCTCTAACTGGCATATCTTGATGGTCAATGACTTACTATTTTAGTCAATCTGGAGTGATGAGTGTTTTAAAATTTAACGTCACCTCGGCAATATTAATTTTCAGCCATATAGTGACGGGCGAGAGTGATGAAACACACAAATGGCGACCTCATTTTGACGTGTAAATTGCTTGAATAATCCTCAACCCATGGCTCCTCGAGTGAGTGAGTGAGTGAGTGAGTGAGTTAAGATTTTAAGTCACATTGGCAGTATATCAGCCATATCGTGACTAAACAGGCTATAGACTCCCAACAACTGAAGGTAGATCACCATACTAGGGAAATTAGGGATGCCAAAGCCAAAGATGTCCATTGCATCTTATACTCAAGCAAAAAAGTTAATGGCCACCCCAGTTCTCAATAATTAGGTACTATAGGGATCATCATATGAACTATTAAATGTGTTGAGCATAGATTCAGCTTACTCCTGGAGATAGTTGTGAACTTCAAACATTGATTCAAAATTATTTTGTCTTTCACAGATGAACAACCCTTGTTTTCATGGTGGAGATTATGACGTTTCAAACAGCACCTGCATCTGTTACGGTGGCTACGTTGGTGACTATTGCGAAAGACTCATGCAAGGTGCGTCCAGGGTCAAAGCGATTTCAATATGCGTACAGAGTGAAACACAGTATTCGGACACAGTCCACACTATTGAATGTCATCAGTTTTAGTGCCCTCTCGACAACTGCATGACACCAGTAATATCAGTAGCACTGTCTGTGCAAAAGGAAAGGTGTTCTGCTGTCTTGTTATCTTGTTTTCGTTTTATGGCAGTCGTAGTAATGACAGTAGTAGCACACTAGTACTATTTACTTTGCATTTTGCAGACTGCTCCGAGGGGAATGTCTACAGTTACTATGCCAACCAAAACAGTAACTTCCTCTGCCACCCAAACGGTGCCCCTAAGCCGATCAAGGTCCACTGTAACATGAAATATGGGGGAAGGACGATACTCACAACCCAGACTTCAGGAACAGAAAACTTTACCAGAATGTGGGAAGAGTACAAAACAGGTTTCGGCAGTCTGTCAGGTGACCACTGGCTGGGCAATGACAATGTACATTACATAACTAGTGGTAGATCACACTACCTTGTTGTTGAACTTTGGACCCCCGGTAATGTCATCGTCAGTATACTCGCGCAACGGTTCTACCATGACTTCCTTGTTGGGCCAGAAGTAGAAGACTATGTGATGACCTTTTCCTCCAAATGCTCCTAACAGACAATGGGTGCAGCATCCAGCAGGATGTTTTGTGAACGCCACGCCATTCAGTACCCTAGATGTGGACCACTCAGCCGGAGCAGCTGGTTTGACACAGTCTGGCTTCTGGCATGCCAACCCCCCAGAGTGTAATCCAACCGGACAGCTGAAGCCAACTGACACATCATGGGGAGGGGACAAAACTGACGTGTTCTGGCAGGATGGTATTGATGGAGATGCTGTCAACAAAATCGTTCTCTTTCTCATCTGGAAATCTGCTTGAAGGTTATCCCCTACCTGCAGTCACGCTATCATTCAATTCATATTTACAATGTGTTGCACGTGAATAGTTAATCATTCTTAAAAGCATTCACCTGTACGCGAAACTGATATTTCTCTCTAGTTATAATGATTCCCATGAGTAAGTACAAAGAAATCACCCAACTCCACATGCTGCTGCTTCAACGTCATGGTATGAGTCATTGCGTCAAAACGCTGTGTCCCAACCGCCACTCCGATCTGCCCCCTATACCATGTACACGCCATTGTGAAACAGCTCATATACTGACAACTTCCACTCTCTATCAATCTGTCGAATTTCATATCACAATTGAATGCATGAACATAAATGTCCGTACATAGGACGTATGTGTTGAATACTGAAGATGTCCACTGATATGGATACTCACAGGTTCTGTATAATATGATCTTGTCATATGGTTAGGATTTGATCATGGCATCTGTGAAATTTCGGGTTAGAATTTGTCTTCAGCCACTTATGACGGTGGATCGGGTAGTCAGGTTCGGTGAAGTGGTTGTCATCCCAGTTGCGAACATCGATGCTTATACTGTTGATTGTCTTGTCCAGACGCGGTTATTTACAGACCGACGTCTTATAGCTGGAATATTGCTGAGTGTGGCGTTATATAGCCAAAAAAACCACACACACCCAAAACAACCTTAATTGAGGATTGACTGTGTGTTCTTTGAGGTATGGATTGAAAGAAACGATTCGCAAACTGCATGAATCTGCATAATCAAATTGGACAATGGAACAATATGATATCTACAATTTTTTTAGAAACTAAACAATCGTTTAAATTGAAGCAGATGATATAACGAGACTGACAAACATTCCAGGCGTAGAAATTCATTCTGTGGCGCGACATGTATCTGGTGACTGTTTTACTTAAACATATAACTTGACATGCCCACAAAGTCAGTAGCCAATCAATAGTGAAAAGAATGAATACAACGTTCACTGGACCTGTCAATCAAGGTAAGAGGCGGGAAGAGGAGAGGACATAGCTGAGATATGCGACTTACATACGCACGCGCACACTAACACACATCCGCACACCGCATCCACGCCAGGAATCATCAATTGAAGACAACTACGTGTCAAGGTGATGACTATAAATTGACACATAACAACACAGCATCTCATGATAAATGTAACAAATGTCTCACAATAGCTTCATTGTTTGTTCTTGTGAAAATGGCATGAATGTATGGAAGGATGGACCCCTTGTCTGAAGTGGCTTGGCACTTGAGGTGAGCTAAAACGCCACTGCTAACATGTGCCCTCTACCCGTGAAGATCCGGGTTACAATTGGTCTTCAGCAGCCAATGCTTGTCGTAAGAGGCGAATAACGGGATCGCGTGATCAGGCTTGCCAACTTGGCTGACACATGTCTAACTTGCGTAGAACGATACTCATCTCATGAGTGCTTGATCTAGGCACTATTATTTACACACCGCCCGCCGTGTAGCTGGAATATTGCTGAGTGCGACGTTAGACAAGAATCAAACAAACATTGCGTCCACGATAAAATTAGGAACAGTCCATTTTGTATAGCGACATTTATTCACCCCGATGACCAGATTTTGATTTTGAGGTGCAAGAGAAATATTTAGAGGTTATGGTGTGAAACTCAGTGCAAATCTGTCCAAGAGACAGAGACAACAGTTAGCAGCACTGAGAGAACAGGGACAGCGAGGCTACTACAGGAATGGTGTTCTGCATGTGAGTACAGAGGAGTCGGAACCAGGGGCTTCTTCTTCACGTCCTATACTGAGGACACAGAGGCGGTATCAGAGAGAGACTAGAAGCAAGTCTACGGGTAGTGACACAACTCGCAAATAGGATTATATATAGCCGGGTCACAGCAAAGAGGAGTAAAATCTCTCAACTAACTTTTGGATTTTGGAACATTGAATGACTTGTGAATAAACTCGAGGATAATGACTTTATGGATTATGTGAAATCTTATGATATAATAGGACTAACAGAAACATGGCTTCACCAATTTGACATAGTTTACAGATTTCTCGATCTACTGTAAAGATGCTCATAACCTGTTGTCAGGCAACCAGAAAGGCCGGTATGCAGGTGGTATTACGGCTTGAGTTATAAATTATATTGATAGATTTGTAACACTAAATATGTCACATACAGGTATATTCCTTAAACTTAATCAAGAAATATTTGATCACGAAAAAGATATCTTATATGGTTGTGTGTATATATACCCCCCTCAATATTCGACATAGTATGACAATGAAATTGAAGATAATGGAATAATACAGCTTGAGAATCTAATTGTTGAACACCTTGAATGTTTTACTTCAGATCCAGTTATATGGATTGGTGGTGATTTTAATGCAAGATCGGGTGATTTACAGGAGAGAATTCTTGACTTTGACGACAGTACAAGGAGTAATTTTGAAGTTTTTAAAGCAGTTGTTAAAAGAGAAACCGAAGATAATTATGTTAACACATTCGGCAAATCATTAATAGATCTTTGCTCAGTGTTTGGCTTACATATGGTTAATGGTTGCTATGGTAATGATACACATGTAGGTGCAATGACTTTCTTCGGCAATACGGGTGCGAGTCTGATAGATTTCTGTTTGTTATCTTTAGATGCGTGACCATGTACTTGATTTCAATGTTGTTAATAGATCGGAACCATGCCATTTACCTTTACCATGTACGTGCTTACAATGCAAATGTATGTAGGGATGAAAGAAAGTAGTTTAACATGCTACAAGCACGGGGTATTAATAAGAAGGAAATATTTGTAAGGAACTTGGGTTCAGATGATAGCACCAGTGCAATCAAATATGCAGAAGATATGATAACTGCAGATAAAAATGAATCAATAGATGTATTTACAAGTACTATAAACAAATCAGCAGGATGCTTCCGGGTTAAGTTCAGTACTAGTAGTTCTGGTAGACGAACTAGATGGAAATGGTTTGACAGGGACTGTAGACGTGAGGCATTACGCACACTACGAGTCGATAGAAAACTTTACATCATATAGAACCATCAGAAACAGATATAAATCTTTGAGAAGAAAGAAACAGAATGATTACAGATATAAAATCGCACTGGTTTTGAACGATTTGCTAAAAAAAGATACAACTTACTTTTGGCGTAGTTTTAAGAGGCTTCGGGGTACTTCCCGTACAGTATGTAATATTATATTGAGAAATGGTTTGACTACTTTTCATCTGTTGAAGATGAATCTGTGGATCAAGATTTGGCTGAAAACATATCTGTGTTAAATGAAGAAACTCGTGAGATAACGGCAGGTATTAATGTTGTCGTCACAGAGTATCAGATAAGCAAGGCAATAGATACACTCAAGGGAGGTAAGGCTGCTGGACACGACCAGATCATAGGAGAATTAAACAGGAAAACAACATATAATCCGCTATTTTCTAAGGTTATTTAATCATATATTCAAGAATGGGTTATTTCCACAACGGTGGTCAATGGATATAATACTACCTATTTATAAATCTGGTGATAGAATGAATCCTGACAACTATAGGGGAATTACCTTAACGGGTGTACTTGGAAAGATATATACATCGATTCGTAATCAGATATTGACGCCATGCGTAAAACAGTTTGTAAAAGTATCAGAAGAACAGGCAGGTTTTCGGGAAGGTGACTCAACAACAGACAATATTTTTGTATTAAATGTTTTTATTCACCAGTTTCTTAGAAGCAGATACCTCCCTATGATCTCCACTGTGTACAAAGATGAACAACACATGAAAAACCTGTTAAACTCAAGGAATATATATATATAATAATATTCCTAAAAACGATTTTTGAAATTAGACGGTAATATATGTATGTATATTTATATTTCCTCGTGACTGTGCAATGTAAAAATATAACACAACTGTGCTATAGGTAATATGACCTGACATACTGAATAAACTTCTGTCTGGTCTGTCTGCTTTTATTAAGAAACATTTATCTAAACGGAAAGGTAGATTCTATGTAGCATTTATAGATTTCCGTAAAGCATTTGACTCTATTGATAGAAAACGTTTACCTATATCACTAAATAAGATAGGGCTATCAGGAAACATTTTGAGTGCTTTACGGGCTATTTATGAAAGAGTGAAAAATAAAGTAAAGTATAATGAATCTTTCTCAGAGGTATTTGAATCGTCCATAGGACTACGCCTAGGGTGTGTGTTGAGCCCTTTCCTGTCTTGCATATATATAAATGAATTGATGACATTATATACTCTTGAGATTAGTGGTCACAGAGGGATACAGCTATTCCCAGATTATATAGAACATCTCATTTTACTTTTTGCGGATGATAAAATACTTTTTTTCAGATACAGTTATTGGTCCACAAAGACACCTCGATATGTTAAATGCTTATTGTATAAAGTGGAAAGTGCACGTTAACTTACAAAAAATAATATTGCCGTGTTTAGAAATCATGGTGGTCTATGAAAAAGTGAAAAATGGTACTTTAGAACTGTTTTAGTTAAAATAGTTCCACAATCTAAATATCTTGGGGTTTTGTTTACATATTATCTAAGCATGCAAATATCAGTCCAACGTATTTGTATTATGGGTAAAAGAGTTACTGAGGTCAATGAAATCGCTAGGCAATCTATCTTATGAGTTGTACTTTAAAATATTCGATACGAAGATAAAACCTATTTGTATGTACGTCGCAGGATTATGGGGATATCAAAAGTATGAAGTCTTAGAACGAATACAGACAACAGCCTGTAAAAGATTCTTGGGAGTACCGAGTAATACACCAAATGTAATGGCTACTGGTGAATGTGACAGATTCCCAATTTATGTAGAAACATTTATTAGATGCAGTAGCTATTGGTTATCCTTAATACACATGAGAGATAATAGAGTTCCACCAAAAGCTCATGATATGATATTTTGTTTACGTATACAAACAATAGTTAGCTGGGTATCACTTATTTGAGAATCAATATTTAAGCTTGGTCTCGGATACGCATGGATACATAAAGAAGTTGGACATTGTCAATTATTTTTGAACGAGATAAAGATGAGACTTAAAGACATTTCTGTGCAAGAGTGGCATTCAATTATTACTACTACTAGATAAGACAAATTATTCTTCATATAAACACAATATTTTTCCAGAAAATTATGTAACAAATTTTCAACTTTCAAATTTGAGACGATACTTAACTTTACTAAGAACTACCCCACTTACAGGTAGATATCGGACGTAGAAATAATATACCTAAAGAAGATAGGATTTGTAAATTTTGCAACTTAAATGTAAAAGAAGATGAATTCCATGTTTTTTTAAAATGTGCATTGTAAAATGAAATAAGACAACAATATATTCCACAGAAATACATTAAGAATTGTAATTTTGCAATGTTTTGCATACTTATGTCTGATAGTAATAACGAAACTGTGTGGAACCTATGTAAATTTTGTAAACTCGCCATTTCTATTAGATACGAGATAAATGAAAGACAAAATTTAAACCATAAATGCCAAATATGTTAAATTTCCATTAACAATGTTATATATGTATGACATTATGTTTATTTGTATGTGTAAATATTAACATAACATGTTCTTGCTATGTGAGTGCAAGGCATCATGCATTCAGGTTGCCTGGCGTCATCAATCAATGTTCCACAGCATTCCACCACTGGTGACCCTTGAACGAAAAGGTATGAGTGTGAAGCCGACATCCCATGCAATCGTTAACAGCAAAGCATCATTCTTTCACAGAAATGCTATGTCCAACTGCAAGTTACACATGCATGACTCAATTACGTTATTTCGAACTGAGTCCTTGTTTTACCATCTTTTAACGTCTTTTTGTGTTACAAGTGAATATTTATTGAAATAATATCAGTGGAGTCAATCCATGACTCGAGGAGTCTGAGCCAATGGACAAGTGAGTGACTTTGACCTGGCCTGTAAGGTACTTCTCACTGGAGTGAGTGAGTGAGCGAGTTAATAGTTAACGTTACATCGTCTATGTCTCAGCCATATCGTGACGAAAACGATTTATACAATAAAGATGAAAACATTTTGAATAGTAAAAGCTGTCGACGATGGACGGTAAAAATACTAGAGGATCACAGAAATGAATATAAAATAAGCATTTAAAACTAAAACATTTTAATTGGAAGACAATACAATATAACACACAGACTATAGATCGCCAACAACTGAAAGTAGATCACCATACTAGGGACCAAATGTGCTTCCTGCATTTACACTTCTCACGGGAGCTCTTTAAAGACGGAGATATCGGATTGAAAACGTATCCCCAAATTTACATGCAGTATCACAATATAATGATTGACAGACCATTGAAAATATAGTCAAATTATAGCACCGTGATTTTTGTGTATTTAAGCCTGAATCCGTGGTTTCAGTTCAAGATTCTGATACGCTTTAGCACCAAAACCTTATCGTTACGTTTCCCAAATGTGGTACACGTTTGCAATCGCGTTCATGTAACAACTGTGTGAAAATGCTGTATCCGATGTCAGCCACAGATATAAAAAACTTACCTTTGCGACCCCTTGAACTGGTATGCGTACATAAACGTAAACATATAATGGCCGAATTTCTCTTTTAAGAACTTCATACGTCAGTGAATTCAACCCATCTGTTTCCATTCTTGTGCTTACATCTTTCAATAGTTTTCTTCTGCAATGAAGATTTGTATCTGGCTTACTGGTAATAACCAAATCCATGTTCGAACATGAATCTTTAGGACTTAAATGTTCCTAATTCTGTCCTCATTGTGTATTGATGTAGCTGAATACAATACTGACAGCACTGATCATTCTACTCACTACATTCAAAATATTGTTTGTTGTTGAACGCTTTGTTCACCATAAAATCTCAAATACCAGCACCACCTTGAGAGATTGTGTAAGGCTCAGTATGAGTCACATTTGGC